ATCGACAAAGCAAAGTGATCATGTAATTGTTACAATCGGGCTGGCGGTGAATCTGAGAAGGGATTCATACGTTATATACAACTTTAAAAAAATATAATTATAAAAAACGAAAGGAAAAGCCCCCCCCCCCCCTCTCCTCCCACACCCGAAAAGAAAAAAACCCCGCAAAATCAATAAAAATAAAAAACAAAAAGCCACACACACACAAGTAACTAAATGTATATTTAGATAAATATATAACCCAGACAAAAAAAAGGAGAGAAAAAAATAAATAAAAAATACATAAACAAATAAACATTAAAACCTAGAGGAATATGAAAATGTGTAATGCTAAAGCACGAAGACACGATAAACTGTACCAACATTACAATGTTCCCCGTTATGCATTTTTTACCTGGGTTACATACGGGTGATCTAAGTTAGAAATATATGACTGATATAAATTCTTTAAACACGGAATATCGAATATGCTTGGATTATCTTTTTTTTCAAATGTGCTCCATTCAAGAAAAGTTATATAGAATTATTATATATTTACTCTCCCCCACGTATTTTGCTCTTTTATGTAAAAGCTTTTTCACCTTACACATTTTAATTACAGATTCCTTTGTTTTGAGTTTAATGCAAACAAACCAGGCTTTTGAAATGCTATACAAAAACTATGCTTAAAAGTTTACAGAGTTTGTTGTTTCTAATACAGTTTTTGTTGTCTGTATACATTTTTTTAATATACCAGTTTGAGTCTACATGTGAACACAATCGATGGTTGAAATGTAAGTCTAAGAACAAAACATGAACTAATTCTCAAGAACTCTGATGTATAAAGTTACCTTCATCTTTGATTGACTGATGTATTTTCAATCTTTATTCAGCACTGAAGAGGCCACAGGCCTATAGTACGAAGCATTAAATTTATGAATAATCAGCATTGATTTTGACGCCATAAACTGTCATAAAGTATTCATAAAGTATCAGGGGTCATTTCAACTTGCAAAATGATTGACATACCCCTTTATAGAGCGAGGATTGGGCTGTTTTCCCATCCGATTGACTGATATTACAACATGCACATGGTTTAGAACGGTACAATGAATGGTAAAGCATGCAAATTACACTAATACACGATATTTCATAAGAAAACATCATGCCTCCGTTAAAACATAAAACCAATATTTATGAGTCTACGTATTGATATAAGACTTTACCACTGTATCCAATTCCAAAATTTTAGATATAAACTTTCGGACAGTTCAGTTCAAAATTCATCAACCTTTAATACATCACAGGATTTGTAGCTAGACGACGGGAATCTACAGTCTTGACTGTGTGTTTTCTTTGATGAGAATGTTTCACACCGACCTTAGCGTGTAGGGGTGTGATATCCTGGGCAGGAAATGACAGTGTTTTGACATTAATTAACGTGTTGGACATCCCTAATTAACCTTTACTAATTCATGTTAAACCAACACAGGATGTTTTCTGGAAGTGGACAATCGCGAATGCCATAGGGCTGACACGACACGTGTTAATAACTGTCCTAGAACTTCTAAAGTTACTAAACAATCTTTATACCTAACGACTACCTAAACTAAACATCGTCTCTATCAGAAGCCAGCTAAACAACCAAACAATCAAATTTCAAAAACAAACCAAATTCTTAGGACTTATTTTCGATGAACATCTCACCTGGGATGCTCACATCCAAAACCTAACAACTAAATGCAGTAAAGACCTAAACACCCTAAGATGCCTAACTGGCTCTAACTGGGGAGTTTGAATACTATTCCTGCTGTTTTTTCTGAGTTAAGGGAGAAGCCCCATTTGTCAGCCCATTGTTGTATTTTATTTAGAGATTTTTGGAGTAAATTTTGGGCCATTTTAATGCTTTTATTGCGGATCATCCGCGAATTTTGATGTGTTTAGTTTAGGGGATAGGCCATCGAATAGATCGTTTATCATTATATTGAAGAGTATGGGGCTGAGGATACTGCCCTGGGGAGTGCCATTTTCTAGGGGACATTGGTCCGATAGTGTTTGGTCTATACCCACGGTTATTTTACGATTGTTTAGGAAGTCCTGGATGTAGTTTATAATCTGACCTTTGAGTCCTATTTTTTAAAGTTTTTGTATTAGCCCGTAGTGCCATACCATGTCGAAAGCTTTAGAGACGTCTAAGAAGATGCCTGTGGTATATTGTTTATTTAGTTGCCCTCTCTTAATATCTTGCTCTAGTCGGGCGAGGTTATCTAGGGTTGAGCGGCCAGGAGTGAAACCGCTTTGATCTGGGTCTAGTGCCTCAAATACAATCACACTGCCTCCCAATGCACATACCCTAAAACTAAATGTAAAAAAATGCGCACAAACAGACTGCCCAGGCACATGCACACCCTGGTGCATCCACTGCAAATCCATCCAACACACTTCACTTTCAAACCAATGCCCACACAGACACACACTCACCCAGCAGGCCAACAAACACATATACATAGACACGGCCAAAATCCAAACACGAAAATTTGCTACACCCGCATACAAACCACTCCTCCCTACACCACACCCAAACACCATCCCACAAACAAACACCACACCCACAACCGACAGCTCTGTCTGGGGCCCCTACCGAGAAAGCGCACCCACCTCACACACACAAGCAGCCACTCAACCAACCACGAACCCTCCAACATCTCACATAGCCAAAACATCAACCCCCGCATGCAAAACAAACCACAAAACGACCGCCACAACACGACCCTCATCCAAGCACCCTACAGCCCACATGGCAACAACACTCCCCCACAAGCAAGCACAACAACAAAACACAAACACTAAGAAATCCACAGCTACACCCATCCCGCAAACACCTACACAACCCTCCACATCACATGCCTCCCCTATGGAAACTCAAACAGCTAAACCTAATCTAACCGATGACGAAGATTTCCTCCACTACTGAGGAAACAACAAACACTACTCCAACTAAAACAAACCAAACTTCCCTCTCAGCCCCCAAAAGGAAGAAAAAACTAAACCGCAAAACTCCCCAACCAGCTAACACCCAAAACCTAAATAACCTCACCTTACTCCTAGTACACATGCATAGTCAAAACTCACCAAAAGCTAGCATGAAATCCTTCCACAAAGTAGCTTTCAATCTAAAATTAACCCATCTTCCCTTCTTCCTCTTTAACCTCCATCTAAAAGAAGTCATCGAATAAAATAAAAACCTAAAAACTAAATCACCAATCACCAATCACCCGAACCCAATAATGGAAGGACTAAATATTTTTCAGTGGAACGCCAACGGACTCACCTCCCACGGCCATGAACTAAAAACTAAATTTAAACTAAATAAAGGCCCTCACATTGCTTGTATCCAGGAAACCAAATTCTCAAAAAAATCCAAATTCACACTACCTAACTACAACTCAGTTAGAACTGACAGAGCTAAACCAAAAACAAGAAGAGCCGCAGGAGGACTAATCATATTTATCAGGGAAGATATAAATTACGAAGAAATAAAAATAGACACGCCAAACCTAGAAGCCAACGGCATTAAAATCACATTATATAACCGAAAATTAAACATCATAAATATATACCACTTGGCGGAACAAAAAGTCCAACCTGAGGATCTAAACAAACTACTCAAAATAAATACACAATGCCATTTAGAAAGTGGTCAAATGTAACTAATGTTATATTTGGGATAACACTTTCTTAGTAAAGTACAGATTCTAGTACTTTTTGGGGTTGAGTCCCGTCCGTGATTCGAACCCACACCTGCCAGGGTGAGGCACCTAATCGCCAGCACATAAAGTCAGCGATCTAACCCACACAGCCACCGAGCCTTCCACAAAAATGAAAGTCCGACAACTGGTAGTCTAGATCAAGTACTTTTCACAAGTGCGCATAGTTTTCATTTTCTTTTACAGGACTCTTTTTACTCATTTTTAGAAATGAAAAACATGTGAGTAGGTTAATAAAGGGTAGATCCATTTTAAAGCAAACCCTTTCCTGTTCTGTTATAGTTACGAAGACCGACAATTCTGAATCGAGATCTCCTAAAGAGTATTTTAAATTGTGTTTCTATTGTTTTCCGATCAAAGTCTGCAATCAAATAGAACCACAAGGCTCTGTAAATCATCGGGATTTTCAGAATCAGATAGGTCATAGGCAGGTAAAGCAGGGTAATCAAATGTTTATGTCTTGTACATGCTAAAGGCTGTCTGTCATAAGACTACATAAACAGCAAAGACTGACGTGTGTAACATATCCTTGTACATACCAAAATGTAACTTGATATTGACAGGGGACACGGGTGTCCCAGTCGTCTTAGACGCCGCGATTCGCTGTTCAGAGTTGCGTCCTTTGGGCACGCCAGAAACCTATGATTTTGGGTTAGAATCCTGGTTCGCCCCGATTATGTTTCTAGGTTTGTCAGCACCATACCCGTGCTCGTGGGTTTCACCGAAGTGGTAAACGCCTGAGACCTGCATTACTTCGGGCTTTCCTCCCACATTAAGCTGACACGCCGTGATATAACTGGAATACTGTTAAAAGTGGCGTTAAACCCAACTCACTCACTCATATTCATAATGATACATACAAAAATTGTGAGCAATGGGATTTAATTCACATCTTCAACAACACAATCATTGCTGGGATCACATACGTACAATTTCAGTTTCACAAATCCAGAGGTGTTAGATATGTCGAAAATACAGTAACACTAGATAAACGGGGGTATTTGATGGTTAAAGGTTATGTGATCACAGTGATAGATGTATGCTTCTGTTGGTGAAAGCTGACAACAAATGGTTGTATTCAAGCTGTCTCGGCAATAGACTATTTTTTCCAAATTTTATATAACATTGCATTTAATACGTTTGACATTAAATTAACATCGTTAAGTACGTCTCAATCAAACTTGCCTTTTTCTTATTTGTACTTGCAAGTATTTACAGGTTAAAAAACACAATTTAGAAACAAATTATTCTTACCATGTCGAACCATTGGTTTTCTTCACAGCTGCCCCTTGCAGGCCAGTCGACGTCTTCAAAGCACGTTGCAGTTCCTGATCCGGAGAACCTATGACGGTCAACACAGACCACCCTCAGTGTTGCCAAGGTCCCCTCGACGAACAGTTGGACGGTTCCCTTTGGAACGATAGGAACGGGTTCAATGCCAGGGCACAAAACTGGAACAAAATGCATCAAAGACACATCAGTACGAATTCTACTAATTGCAGTCCGTAATACATGAGGTATTAACTGATATATAAGTATTGACTTTAACATTTAACATGTGTGCTTTTACACTCGAGTTTTGTGTTTTGTGTGTAGTTCAACGGAGAAGAAGGTGACGGGTAGCTCCACAGAAGAGCGGGTGACGGGTAGCTCCACAGAGAAAAAGGGCAGTTGCAGGGAGAAGCGGGTGACGGGTAGTTGCACAGAGAAGAGGGTGACGGGCGGTTCCACAGAGAAGATGCTGACGGGTAGCTCCACGGAAGAGCGGGTGACGGGTAGTTCCACAGAGACGAAGGTGATGGGAAGTTCAAGGAGAAGCGGGTGATGGGTAGTTCCGTAGAGAAGAAGGTGATGGGTAGTTCCACAGAGAAGCGGGTGATGGGAAGTTCGACGGAGAAGCGGGTAATGGGAAACTCCTCGGAGAAGAGGGTGATGGGAAGTTCCACGTGACGGGAAATGTCACAGAGAAACGGGTAATGGGAAGTTCCACAGAGAAGAAGGTGACGGGTAGTTCCACAGAGAAGATGGTTACAGGAAGTTATACGGAGAAGCGGGTGATGGGAATTCCACGGAGAAGAATGTGACGGGTAGTTCCACAGAGAAGAAGGAGAAGTTTATGGGAAGTTCCACGGAGAAGCGGGTGATGGAAAGTTCCACGGAGAAGAATGTGACGGGTAGTTCAACAGAGAAGAAGATTACGGGAAGTTCAACGGAGAAGCAGGTGATGGGAAGTTCCACGGAGAAGAAGGTGACGGGTAGTTCCATGGAGAAGAAGGTTATGGGAAGTTCCACGGAGAAGCGGGTGATGGGAAGTTCCACGGAGAAGAAGGTGACGGGTAGTTCCATGGAGGAGAAGGTTATGGGAAGTTTCACGGAGAAGCGGGTGATGGAAAGTTCCACGGAGAAGAAGGTGACGGGTAGTTCCATGGAGGAGAAGGTTATGGGAAGTTCCACGGAGAAGCGGGTGATGGAAAGTTCCACGGAGACGAAGGTGACGGGTAGATCCACGGAGAAGCGGGTGATGGGCAGTTCCACGGAGAAGAAGGTGACGGGTAGCTCCACAGAAGAGCGGGTAGTTCCACAGAGAAGATGGCAGTTGCACGGAGAAGCGCGTGACGGGCGGTTCCACAGAGACGAAGGTGATGGGAAGTTCCAGGAGAAGCTGGTGATGGGTAGTTCCATGGAGAAGAAGGTGATGGGTAGTTCCACAGAGAAGCGGGTGATGGGAAGTTCCACAGAGAAGAAGGTGATGGGTAGCTCCACGGAAGAGCGGGTGGCAGGTAGTTCCACAGAGACAAAGGTGATGGGAAGTTCCAGGAGAAGCGGGTCATGGGTAGTTAAATGGAAAAGAAGGTGATGGGTAGTTCCACAGAGAAGCGGGTGATGGGAAGTTCCACAGAGAAGAAGGTGACGGGTAGCTCCACGGAAGAGCGGGTGACGGATAGTTCCACAGAGACAAAGGTGATGGGTAGTTCCACAGAGAAGCGGGTGATGGGAAGTTCCACAGAGAAGAAGGTGATGGGTAGCTCCACGGAAGAGCGGGTGGCAGGTAGTTCCACAGAGACAAAGGTGATGGGAAGTTCCAGGAGAAGCGGGTCATGGGTAGTTAAATGGAAAAGAAGGTGATGGGTAGTTCCACAGAGAAGCGGGTGATGGGAAGTTCCACAGAGAAGAAGGTGACGGGTAGCTCCACGGAAGAGCGGGTGACGGATAGTTCCACAGAGACAAAGGTGATGGGAAGTTCCACAGAGAAGCGGGTGATGGGAAGTTCCACAGAGAAGGGTGGGGGTGGGATGGGGTTGGGGTGCAAAAAATCCATTCAGTTGTTACAATCCTCAGTGGAGCAAATGTTGTTATGCTCTCTGATAATGGTATGCAACGATTCTGTTACGATACACCCAAACACGGGTATCAAGCACCTCATGGCCATCATGCCCATGACTGCATACCTCGATCCGTTCTTCATTGTGTTCCAAGATATATCAATCTATATATATATATATCATGTACCAAAATCAAGATAAGTACAATTTTCGTACAGTGCTTTTGACCGGCAGATTAATAGAAACCGGGCCCATTCTACCACCCGTCGGGGCAAAGGTATGGTCAAAGTGCTTCTGGACCCAGTACCTTCAAGCACAGGACTCCAGCTGACAAATACCGAGCCAAAACCCGCGTCAGACTGCCCAATATAATCGCCTCTTACAAGTATCAATAGCGTGTCCAGACTCGATTATATTCAGGTGATTAAGATGAAATATTACAGACTGTGACGTGATACAAAACATAAATACAAATATTATATACATACGTTCATAATAACTGAATCCGGCATTAGTTATTAGTCCGCTATCGGATTGTTGGAAGTACTTGGAATGTAGACGACATATTCCTGATGTCTGGTCATAGAAAACAGACTTGCATCCCGTTTTCCTCACGCATTTCACGGGACACTCTGCTCGTAGTTGTGAAGTTTCTATCGCAATCAGGCCTGCATCCGAGGTCATGCCTGTCAAGCTTTCATTTTTTACAAACCGTATGCTAGGACAAGCCTTGTAACTGTGGAACAACACAGGTAATAAGAACAGTACTAAGCTTGTAGCCATCATACCTCAACAGCTGCTGCCTCTCCAATGTCACTGGTGCTGTTGGTGAAAACATATGTTTGGTTCCACAGGACGATTCCACGTCCACTATCAGCATTGTCCAATCAGCAACCAGCTTCCTGCAAAGTCAGATGTTATACCCCACGCTGTATTGATTTTATTTGCCGTATTGTTAATTATCTTAGTCGTTATGTTTAAAGGCATACTTTATCTCTGTCGATAAAAGAATAACAAAACAGTTTACGCGGCCCATTGATAAACTTCCCGAAGTCTTGTGAGATGGTGTTGACTAAGAAGCGTCATATGCTGGAAATAATGTAACGCTCTATTAGCTGTGGCTTTTATATTTCATAAGTGGTAAACTAGAAGACTGTGAAGCCTCATATACTGGAAATCAGATAATACTCTATCGATTGTGTGATGCTTATATTTCATAAGGGATGTCTTTTCTTGGAAATTCATTTATATATTTCTGTTTCGGAATGTGCGAATTCAATCATTTATCACAGAGTATTATTACTTATGAGCCGAGTATGTATATCTTCAAGTCAGTGAATTGAGTCGTGTCCCTTAGTTGTGTCTACCATCATCCAACAATCTTGGGCTCGCAATCGAATCCCATATTCGCCCTGATTACATCCTTGGTTTGTCAGCACCAAACACGTGCTCGTGGGTTTCCATTTAGTTGTAAGCGCCCCCCTTGATATAACACAAGTAGCTCTGCTACCAAACTCACTCTGATTTAAGCCCGATCATGTTGATCTGGAATTACTTCACTGCAGTTTTCCGTCAGTATTGTAGTGAATCCTAACATCAACTTTACAGAACAAATATTAACTAGATTATACCAGAGTCATTTGACTATTATGTACTTAATTAATTCTACAAACTACTAATTGCTCGGAGTTTTAGCATGCCAGATCATAGAATTTAAAGAAACTAACTACTATATCAAACTAAAGCGCTGAACATAAGCTTTCCTACGCAATCATTAAAGATTTACAGCAAGCTATGCACAAGGAGGCTAAAACGATCATAAATACTATGAAAAATATCTGAGTGTATATATAAATTCCCCGAAAGTTTGAAAATCATATAGTTACAAAAACATGTTCAACAAAAGAAGAAGGTAATATATGAGCGTGCCATTTGATCACAAGAGAATGAAACAGTCGGATCACAAATTCTCTAAATCAGAATGCAATGTCACTGAACAACGACGACCACCGGACTTTGCCGAGCGGGGTCGGAATTAAAGCCGGGGAGCGGTGCGGTCACGAGATCGTGGCAAGGGTAGATTTAATGATCCGGTGACAGAAAACATGGTGCAAACACCATGAAGCTTTGTCATATCAATCAAGTTTTCACCAAAAGGAAATAGAATTTTTTTTATATATTTGCAGTATTGAAGGATATTTGAAAAATGCATTTGGACCTTCAAGCCTTATAATGATTTAGTCGATCTCCCATTGTCCGAGACTTTACAGCGAGACATGATTTGAAGATCCTCACTGGCGTAAACTAATTACGGTATCTTCGTTCTGTATCTGTTTAGAATTTGCATGAATAGTTTATTATGTCAAAAGAAATTGGTGAAAGCAGTGTGGCTGTCTATTCAGAGGAGCTATCAACATACTTTGTTTGTGTGTTGTTTACGCAACAGGCACCAATATAGCAGACACATCACATCGTCCTGTCATCGGATTGTCACAGTGCAGATCAACATTATGAAAGTTTGTTTGTTTTTCAACACCGCACTCAGCAGTATTCTAGCTAAATGACGGCGGTCTGTAACAATCGAGTCTGGACCACACAATCCAGTGATTTACACATGCACACCGATCTATGCAATTTGAATACCATGACATGCTTCAATCTAGTCAGAGAGCCTGACCACCCGATCCCGTTAGTCGCCTCTTACGACAAGCATAGTAACCTTTTACAGCAAGCATGGGTTACTGAGGACCTGTTCTAACCCGGATGTTCGAGGGTCCATAAAAATGTTATTAGACATGATCGTATGAATGGGGATTAGACTCTGTTCGTTTCAACTATTTCAATCTGTTTGATTTTACGTTTTTTCTAGTATTTAAATATAATGAAGTCTTTGGTCCAGGCTGATTGTCCTGGGAGACAAACGTGGTAAAAAGTGCTTCTTGAATCACGGACTTGGCCATACTTTTCAACTTAAGAACTTTCATTTGCGTATTCATTTACATACAACAACTGCTTTATTGAACATGGGACATGAACAGGAAATAACACGAGTCTTTAATGTTCCACTTAAGATCGCAGAAAAATGTTCATATAATATTCCGTATGTTGGAAGGTATACAGAAACAGGTATTTATTATGTATGAAACATGAACTACGTTTTCACAACATTGACATTTATTTACAGAGGGTTAATTTGACGACAATTAATGTTACGTATTATTCATTTTCCCCCAAACCCTATTCATATCAGAGGCCTTTCGTTCAATGAAGTACATTGTGTAGACAACACTTATACATCTTTAGTTGGTAGACCACTGAATAAAATACATTTTAGAGGTTTTGGATAAATAATAAGTTCTTTTGAGTTATTATTATGCAGTCTGCGAGCAATGGCCGTGCGCTTATGAATCGACTTTCACTTTGTGTTCACTGGAGTATGCACCTTCTTCCAAACAGAATGAACGTCAGAGCTTGCGTTCAGAATTTATGTTTCTATTTATAAATGATCAGACGCATTTATGTATAAATTTGTGCTAGGGAACTTTCAGGAAAATAGTCTGTCATTGTTTTTCTTCATTTCCTGCAAAAAATGCATGGAAACAAAAATGTTTAGACAGCTTATAGGTCATCTGATCGGCATTTCGTTCAACGCCAAATAAATAACCGTATGTACATACATGTACACTGAATAGGAAAACATTGCTGCCAATGAAGCAGGAACTAGATATCTCTTGCAGTATTCTGATCTGTTGCATGCATTTCATCGTGCCTGTAAAAGGACAATGTTCCGTTTATGTGCCCAGCTCACAGATTTTCATGAGACCAGAACTGCAATTTAACTTAGAAATTAACGTTTACAACATCAGTATGAGGAGCGTTGAAAGGAAATGCATTATATATGTTTCCTTCCTGTATGATATTTTGAAGGTCACCGAGATGCATGAATACCAATATTCATAGCTTGCAACTGGATCATATAAAAGGCTCAGGTGTGGTTCAACGATATGTTATGGTCTTACTATGCTCTGCATAAAAAGTTCACATTCCCGTGACTTTGAGATCCAAGAAAAGGTGAGTAAGAAGAAAGAAAAAACACATGTAAAATGAAATACTTGAAGGTTGGGGACTCGAACCCGGGTCTTCGGCGTGATGAGCTAACGCTTTAACCACCTAGGCTATCCCACCGCTCTTTTCGAGTGATGAAGCACAATGAAGCATAACATGGCTGGTACATAAGTTCCAAAACTGAAAGTAGCAGTGAGATAATGTATGCATGAAATTACAGAACATTTTATTCCTTCGATGAATATTATTAGTCATACAATAATGTTAATATTTTTTTAAATACCTGGCAGTATCTGGTTTACACAATAGATGAAGCTGTATGTATGTACTATGTCAATGCTATCAACGCTCTGTTTGTAAAATGTTTGTCTAAAGTCCATGCACAGGCGCATGGGAAATATTTGCATTGTCAAGTTCTTCAACGTCTGTTTTTATGTAATGGTAAGACATGCATGGAGCATATCAATAAAAGATATTAAGTGTATTTGAAACATTTCACAGTGAGGACATTTTCCATGGTTAGACTTGTTGTAACCCCGACGATACCACACACTGCTACCGCTAAACAAAAATCTGAGGACATCCCATTGCGGATCACGTCAGAACGATCTTTCGGGAACTGTGACCAACCAATGAAATGACTGACAGGAAATCGACGTTAGCCAATCAGAAGGCAGTTTTCTCGAGCTTTACGACACTAGTTTCAAACTGGCGACTACGCTTCGAAATATATTTTGATGTATTCTCGATTAAAATTTTTAAAACTGATAAAAAACAAAAGCATTCTGGAATGGCTTATAGATGGCCTAGATTGTGTGGATATAACCATAAAACCCGTAACTGTCGTTCGGAATATCCACACTGTTCAATACTTCGAGGTTGCATGATTAGAAAACACATTCCGACTGTCACTTTCATGATCTGGTAAGCGACGCTGTGATTGGCTGGATGAAAGTTCGTTCTGACGTGACCCGTAATGGCATGTCTTCAGATCTTTGTTTAGCGATAGCGAGAACTAAGATATGATTTTGATGAGACTGCTCATCTACAAATAAAAGTTTCTTTTAACTTGTCGAATAATTTGATATTTTTGCCTGGAAAGACAATACCACGATCGTGTCAACCATCTCCCATGTCGCGGAGTTATCGACAATTATGTGAACGCAACAAAAACAGTTCCATAATCATAAGAAACATCTGCTGAAAACTCCATTGTACGATTCCGACTACGTTGTGAGGATGACAGTGAGTGAGTGTTTAAGAATCACTTTCAGATAGTGATGGTACCAGGTGTTCGATGAAGGGGAGAGTATCCTGCCAACTCTACCATGTTAATGTATTGACCTTCGGATATGGGAGTAAATGATTCAAGTCGTACTTATTATTTGATTTTGGCAGGATTTACGTATAACAGTTTATCTGAATGTGAACAAGATAAATGCCGCATGAAAATGTAAGTGTTATCTTTTACATATCAAGCTTGGATTTGTATCGTATAGACCATTCAGTTAATGACAGAGTTTGTATACGTTTTCATTCGATTCCTTGGAGTTAAAATACTTATAAATTGAGATATTGTTTAAGGATAAATAATTATAAGGTTAAATATATAGCAATCTGTATTTGACCAAAGTGAAATTATGTCTTATTGCAAATTCACTGTGTGTAATTGGTTTGTTTGTTTGTTTTTGTTTAACGCCGCACTCCAGTATTCCAGCTATATGACGGCGGTCTGTAATAATCGAG